TTAGTGGACCCGCCCCGACCGGTTGGTGAAAGGAAAACGGGATGCAACATGTCCTATGATCCCGGGATTTTTTCGAGGGAAGCGGCGTGTTTTTGTGGGCGGGTGTGCGGGAGTCCAATTTCGCTGTGTAGCAAACCGGCCGTCACAGTGTGATGCCCAACCTCACGCCCAGCGCGACTTCCTGATCGGAGTGGGATGGGGGCCCGGAAGTGCGAAAAAGGGGTGTGCCAAGGATTTTCGGATAGTGGGGGTGGAGTTCCAGGTCAGAACTGAGATCTCCTGTGGCAAGCCTTAGGGGCAATTATGCAAGATAGTAAGCGCGAACCGCGTCCGACTTTTATGCCTTGGGGGATGTCATCGCCATCCCCTTGCCGAGGCCAGACTCGGATTTGGTGAACCGATGGAACGCTATGTGTGTCGCATTGCCTAACCAATCGCCAGCGTCGCTCGTGATAAGCCTCCAAGTCGGACGAAGCGGGCCTTAGGCGCAGGCTGTGTGCTCGCTGTTCGGCCTCAGTCCGGGTTCGTCGAACGAACCCCGCGGCTCGTTACTCGCTGTCCTGCTGGCACTCGGAGACGGGGTTCGAGGCCAGTAGGGGGCGAGTGCGTGCCACGGGGCCGCCGTTAGGCAGTGAAAAGACAACACGAGGCGGTAGGGAGCGAAGTCTGTCTCAATGATGACGACACCGGGTTCCGCGATGACGTGGCTTACGTGTGAGCTGGGGAACTGGCTTACGTGGCTTACGGGTCCTGTAGACGCGCGTGCAGACAATGTTTGTTTTGATCGAGCCTGCACTTATGCGCACGAGACCACGTTTGCGACCAGTTGGATCGGATCGACCGACTATCCCTTTGGTCGGGAGATCGTTTGACCTGTCGTCATGCTAGCCCGTGCGCGCGTCAAGAAACAGACATTAGGAAGGCAATCCGTTGGCAATCACTCATTTGAATCCACTTACCCACCAGAGCATACACCAGCCAAGTCCGTCGAGTGTTCGTTAGATTCTTCTCTCTTATCCAAAGAGGGAACGGGAAGCTGACATGCATACTCAGGCATCGATCGAACTCATACATCAATCAAACCCGAGGGCCATGTGGATTTCCGGAAAAGCATAGCAAGAGATCGACCAGGGGTTGCGTATCAAGCCATGTCACCGAGGAAGCTTACATCATCATAACCCAAACTCCCCTAGGTCGCGCGCAGACAGTCAACGTGCCCGATCTCACCCTACCGCAATGAAACAAGGGTGAGGGGGGAAATCAAACCATTCACAAGAAGGACGCAGACCAGGGGTAAGTCCCGAACAGAAAGAGGACCGACGCCACTCATCAAAACTACATAGGTGGGAGAAAGAAAAGAAGGACACCATTCCACATATATCGTAAGCTAAAAATCCAAAATGATTCGCAAGAGGACCGGAACGGCCATAGCAAAATTGGCCAAGGTTGAAATCAAAATTTATACAGAGGGTTAGAGAAAGGCATCTTCCCACACACACGTCTCTCGCTCTCTCTCTCTCTCTCTCTCTCTCTCTCTCTCTCTCTCTCTCTCTCTCTCTCTCTCTCTCTCT